GGCAGAAAGATGCTCCAAACATCCAACCATGACCTTGATTATTATTATTGGTATTTATATAGTGCCAACATGTTCCGCAGCACTATACATTATTATGAAAGGAGGGGGAAATTTAACAATAAACTAGACATTTACAAAATGACACAGGAACGATAGGTAGACGAGGACCCTGCTCAAATGAGCTTACAGTCTAGAGGAGGTGGGGTATAAAAACACAATAGGGTAGCAAGGGGGACGACAAACAAACACGGTGGAAAAGTAACAGAAGGTGAGAGTGAAGTGTGGCTCTTCAGGAGAGCAATAGGTAGACATGTGATGTAGAAGTTACTCTGGGAGTCCATAAACATTAAACAGATGGGTTTTGAAGGACTTCTTAAACAATTGAAGACTAGGGGAGAGTATGATGGGGCAGGCATGCTGTTCCAAAGGAAAGGAGCTGCCCGTGAAAAGTCCTGCAAGCGTGAGTTCGCAGTAAGGGTGTGAGCAGCAGACAGGAGAAGGTCACCGGCAGAGCAGAGAGGACCTAGAGGGGGCACACCGACGAATCAGGGAAGAAATGTAACAGGGGCTAGAGTTGTTTAGAGCTTTAAAGGTAAGGGTTAGCATTTTGAAATGACACCTATAGGATATGGGAAACTAGGTTCCTATGTTGGTCTTTATGTGGTTGATAGACTTATCATCCCCTCCGCACTTGTAGACTGATCTGTCTTCTTCTTTATGTGGATGGCAAGAGGTTAAATCATGGAGGTCACAAGGATAATAAGAAAGGCTCGTTGAGAGTTCATTGTAGCAGACCTTGCTATAGTTCTCAGAATCATCATTCAAGAGCCGTCTTATCCCTGTCAATCCTCTTTATACTCTCCAGAATGTTTTATTACCTTATATTGAATTTTGTTGCTTCTCGGCGATATCCAAATTACACTGAACATCCAAAGTATTTGAGAACAGCTGTGTAAGGTAGGCTTTTTTTTTCCTGGTGTTTACCGGCATACATGCATGTTTTGACCTTAAATACAGTAACGTATCATCTTTTCATCAATTAATGATTCATATGTCGACACAAACCTTATACTATTACATATAAAGCATGGATTTCATATTACACAATGTATATATCATGTTCTACAGCGTGGTGATAGTCTCCAAGGATTTCACGTTGATATGTGTTCCAGTAAGCTATGACAGTCTCTGTGTGTAAAAAAAAAAGGCTGTGGAGACCAAGTGAGTGTAATGATAAAAATTGATAATTTTACAGCACAAGGTACATAATACACAACTGGGCAATCAATACATTGTGGGTGTCTTATCTGAAAATAGAACACTTTTACTCCATGGAATGCTTTTTCTGAATTAAGAGTCTCTGTATATTTTAAACTAAGGAAGCTATTATTATAGTAAATATTTAGGTATTATTTAGACCTAGTTAGTGACCAAAGGGGTTTTTAGAGTCGGGAGGCCTTGACAGAGGGGGAATATATTGTGCCAGGAAAACAAGTTCACCTTCCCTCTCTTTCCCCACTCCACACTAGCCTACTTCACTTCCTCTTCACCAAATGAATCATCTCATTTTAAACTCTTCTAGCAACCAACCTTGTCTATGTACGAAATATATTTTTACCCTAAATGGAGGTGTAATTACACCTCCATTTAGAAATGCTACCAGTTTAAAGCTTTACTCCAAGTACTATGACCACTTCAGTGATTTAAAGTGGTCATGGTGCCTGGAGTCTGTAACTGCAGCATTTCCCTATGAAACATCGCACAAGACCTTAACCCCTTTGCTGCCACACAGAGTCAGATTAGGGTTGCCCAGAGCCCTTTGCAGGGTGCCAGATTGGGACCCCCGCCTAGCGTCCTGGGCTCTGGTGTGTGTTGACTTAGTGTTATGTGAGTGGAGGAGGATTAGAGCTGTATGGGGGGAGTCAGAGTTTATCTGTATGTTCTGAGTATTGTGTACTCGGAGGAGGGTGAAAGCTGTATGGAGAGAGGCTGAGTGTGTCTGTGTGTGCTGATTGATTGTTGTGTGTGTGATTACTGAATTTTGTGTATGTGTGTAGGGGAGTCTAAATGTTGCTAAATGTAGTAGGTGTATGCTTTCCTGCTTACTTTCACTGGTGGTCCAGTGGAGGGTGAGCAGGTTCACTTCTGGTCCAGTAGATAGTAAGCAAGTTCTATGGTGGTCCAATAGGGGGTAAGCAGAATCTTTGGAAGTCCAGTAGAGGGTGAGCAGGTTTGCTGGTGGTCCAGCGGAGGGTGAGCAGAATCCTTGAAAGTCCAGTGGAGGTTGAGTAGGTTCACTTGTGATCAAGTAGATAGTAAGCATGTTCTCTTGTGGTCCAGCGGAGTGTGAGCAGGATCTTTGGAAGTCCAGTGGAGGGTTAGCAGGTTCGCTGGTGGTCCAGTGGAGGGAGAGCAGGTTACCTTGTGATCCAATGGAGTGTGAGCAGCATCCCTTGTGGTCCAGTGGGGCAACTCCATCGTCTGCATCAATATCAGGTACAGAGCACCTTCTCGGTTCTGGCGCTCAGACAGTGACTCAAAATACCATCTGTGGCGTTCTAAGTCATCAAGGAGTGCCAGGAGACTGCAAGGGTACCTGATAGTGGTCACTTATTCAGTTAAGTGAGGTCCTTACATGAACAGAGTTACATTTGTATGCAAAGATTGAGATGCTTACTATTCCAAGTGAGAGGACATCTAAAGTTTCTAAAGTTTAGGTTCTTTAGGGATACATGTTGAGAACGTACTACAGTTCACAACCAGTTTTTTTCTTGGATTTCCACTGATATCAGATAGCCAGAAGTCATTGTTTGCTGGATCGCACCTCAGACTGCTGGACGTCGGACACTATAAAGTGTCGTCTTTGTAGTAGTGATTTTTTTTCCAGTACTCTACCTTCTGCTATAGAAGTGGTCATTAAGGTAGGCTTTAGAAAGGTAATCTTGGTATATTAAGATAATCTGTGGGTGGTTAACTCTAATGTTCTTCTCGAAATTCCAGTACAGATGTCCTATACAGGATTTTCATCTGATTAATACTAGTATCATGTAAGCAGTATGAGCTCATTTTAATAGGCGATGGACATTCCTTAAGTCTAAGCATAGATATGGTGGTCTGTAGTCATTAAATCACACATACAGGTACAACTGATCCAAATGCCACACCTTTAAGGGACACTGTAGGCACCAAACAACTTTAACTCAATTAAGCAGTTTTGGTGTACAGATCATGCCACTGCAGTCTTACTGCTCAATTCGCTGCCATTTAGGAGTTAAATCAACTTGTATATGCAGCCCTAGCTAAGCCTCACTGCATGTGACTTACACAGCCTTCCTAAACACTTCCTGTAAAGAATCATCTAATGTTTACACTTCATTGCATTTACTGTTTAATTTCGAATTTTGTGTCACTTGCTCTGTTGATAGTTTGAACCTTCATATGTTCTTCTGCACACAGCAACTTTATGGTAATCCCTCTTCCTACGACCTACGACTTGCATAGACCTCTTTCTCACTACTGTACTCAAACAATGTGCTTTTCTGTAGTGCAGAACTTTGAGTTTCAGTGTTGAGTCATTGCTGCTGCCATAGTAAACCTTGCTCTTGTGTTCTGCAGGAATCCCCTACGGTACATGAGTCAATCAGGCCGCCTTGGTGACTTAGAATAGAATGGAATGAGGTTAATTATTTTCAGTGGCCTACAGAGAAAACATCATCAGGGCAGCAATAGGATCTGATGAACGTTTCAGCAAAAGTATCAATCTTTGTCTGTAGTAATGTGAATTGTACTAACAGTTTGCAGTGATAATTCAAGAAAATAATGTTTTTCCCTAATTTTGCAAACTCTTCTACTGCCACTATTCAATTTGATATTTCTGCAATCAATATATCAATGCCAAGGTTGTTCATTCTACAGGATTAATGGCTAGGTTTTTTTTTTTTTTTTTTATTCTCCGACTCCCTTCTGCTCCTTAATTTGGCCACCTGAGATATTTTAGGATATTGAGAAAGATAGCAGAACTGAGACCACCCGGAACACTTAAAATAAAATGTGAGTCAGTAAACAAGATTAGAGTCAAAATCAAATCTAAAAAAATAATAATAATAATAATGCAAAGATAGGTGGAGGCTAAAAATCAAAAAAGCAAATACAAGGAGTGGAGAGGCAATGAACAAAACCACATTATGAATTGTGCAAAGAAAAATTTCTACAGTAATCTTTCATTTAAAAAAAGCACTCCGTTTAGTTGTAAACCATTTTTAATAAATTTTAAACCATTATATATAAGAGAACATTTAGAGAAAGTCATGAATGTCATTGCAGGTTTGTTTTTGTTTTTTTATAATTTTTTATTTTTGCAGGTGAAGCATTACGACATAGTCAATTAATACATGCATACAAACTTAGATCGCAGTGACTATGTTAACATAACATTGTAGACATTTTATGTTCACCTGTGTTTTTGTTATATTAGACTAGGTCATATACTTTGGCGACAATGCCTCTCACAACAGACATATTATACTAAGTGGTCGTCAGGGGAAACTGGGTTTGTTAGAGTGCCGCGTGGTCAGGTGTAAGTGGCCTGTCTGGTTGTCATCGGGTGTGTTATACATATTCAGTCATTAAAACTTGACATAAACCGAATAAGAATGAAAAAAAGAAAAACCAAACAGCCACTGTAAAATGAGATTTAGTACATTGCATTTTAACATATTGGTTTTAGCTACAGTTTGTTATGTCAAGGCGCTTGAGTCTACCCTGGATTGTTTAAGTCAAGTGGGGCCCCTAACCTTTGGGGCAATGGGGGGAGATAAATGGCTAGCTGTCAGTTGACTCTGAAGGAGCCTTCGTTGGTGTATGTCATATTTTAGCACAGACGTCCTTTGGAACTAAATAACAGGTTAGAAATACAGTTAGCATAGTGTGGGGGTAAAGGGGAGAGGAGGTTGAAAAAGATTAAGAGACAGAAACAGTGATGGTTTGTTCTCTTATGTTACAGCATCTTGTCCGCTTCTTGTGCTGGTGGTGGGGTGTGCCTTCTGCTCTCGTGGACCATTTCCCAATACAATTGCTGCCAAGAAGGTGGTGGCCTCTGCCACGTCGGTGGCCTTGAATTGCATGCCATCTTTGGTGACAATAAAGGCTCTAGGAGTAGTCCATTTATGTGGTATTCCTGCCTCTTTAAGCCGTTGTGTGATGGGTTCCATTGTTTTCCTCCATAGCAAGGTCGAGCGGTGTAGATCTTGGAAGATCGATATCTTATGAGACTGAAAGTCCAGTGGTGACTGATTGTGAACAGTCCTTATCAAAGTTTGTTTGTGTTGTCTTGTCCCACAACGTAAGATTATGTCCCTTGGGGATGCAGGCAGTGCCTTAGGATATTTGGCGATGCTGTAAGCTCCATCGTTTGTGAATTGCTTGGCTTGCTTTGCTGGGAGTAGTGTATTCACTTGTTTCCTAATGAAGTGAGGAGCTCTTCTTTCGCCACTGTGTCCGAGACACCCCTTATCTTCAGGTTTTTCTGGTGGGTTCTCTCGTCCAGGGCATCCACTCTCAGCGTCAGAGTGGATTGGTGTGCAGCTGCATGACTGAGTCTCCCACTGCTGCAAGGTTGCGTTGTAGGCTGGTTATATCAGTTTTCTGAAGTCTGGACGTGGGTTGTGACCGTTTGTACTTCACACCGCACCGTGGCTATGTCGGCTGCGAACAGCTATTGGATTTTGACAAAGAGATTGTCTATGTCCTGTTTTGTCACTGGAACCATACTTGCTGGGGTAGATGTGGCTGGGTGTCAAGTCATGGAAGGTCCCAAGGCATCTACAGTCCCCCCTTCTTCGTCCTGAGGATTTGAGGCTTCAGCCTCAGCCTGTTCCTGCGACCTATGCTTTGGGGGTGCGTTGGAGCAGTGTGCCGATGTCTTGTGCTTCCCTGAATGTTTGTACCTGATTTTTGGGTCTTCTTTCCCATCTCATCCGGCTCTTGGGGCTTTGTCTGATGGGATTTGGGTGTGAGCCAGTCCAGGTCCCACAAGGCCGTAAAGACATTTGTCGCGTTTTTCAGCATGCCGCGTGGGAGGCCTTATGAGGCCAGAGTTTATGTTTCATGCCCGGCGGCTGAAAGAATCCTATCGGTGTATGCCTCCCCTTCCCCTGCAAACGTTTCCAGTCCCTAGGTGGGTCGATGCTCGACAGACATGGAGATTAATGTTGGATTTCACTGTTAGATTAGCTGAGCTCCCGGAATGGCATCTGTGCTGGATCGCCCTTTGTGGATTTGCGTTTTACAAATTAACATCAGCTATTGTTCACCTAAAACTTTTCTGGTTATTGGCTAATATGTAAGAGCCAGCTGCATTCTGATTGGCTGAAAGTAACAAGCATCCAATCGAAATAGACTCAAGTACAAACAGTGATGACATACATTATTAAACTTACAAATGTCACCACACTTCACTGTACAAGACTTGACCAATTCATAACCATCACTATGTGGTCCTTGTCAAAGTCATTCAGATCTTTTGACTTGCTCATATTTCTTGCCTCCAAGAACTGACTGTTCACTTGCTGCCTCATATATCCCACCCCTTGTCAGGTGCCACTGTAACGATATAATCAATGTTATTCACTTCACCTGTCCGTGGTTTTAATGTTTTGGATGATCAGTTTATAACGCCCAAGTATTGGTATTTGCAAGTTATTTGCGCCAACAAATGTAATCCACATAATTTAATAAATAATTTTGCTATGGAAATAGAAAAAAAATGAGTAATAAAAAAAGACTCATGCAGCCCCACCCTCTCTGCCTCTGACATCATCATGAATATTTTCACTTCCTTGGTATCAGTAAGAATATTATTACAGCCTAAGCACGTATTTTATGCTTAGGCTGTACTAAGCATAAACTTGATGCAGCCCTTTTTGTTTTGACAAAAAGAACCCTTTTGATCAATGGTCAAATATTATTAAAATGAAGTGAAATTCAGAAAGGATTGGGCTGGAAAAACATTTTACATTAACCAGAATTTTACCCGTATGCTTCTAAGCTCCATAGTCTTTACAAAAATGAGTTGTGGATGGTGATTACAGGGCCACTTTAACGTGTGCACTAATTTATGTAAGAGACATTACAGACCTATTAAAAGCAGATGGCTCACCTTTTGGTATTGACAAGTGATGTTTTCCAGATAATAATCCTAAAATAGTGGTTCCTCCAGCAAAAATTGATTATCTGGAAAAGTTGATTATCTGGCAAAATTGATTACTCATTAACAAAGGCCACACAATGATCAGTTGTTAATCAATTAATCTACTCAATTACTAAATACAAAAATAGTGAAAAAAAATACGAAAGAAAGAAAATGTACCTAAAGTCAAATATGACATATCCACATATGAAATCCATTAAAGGAACGTACCAAACACCTAAAATATCTGCTGAGGGTCCTCTTGTTTACTTTTATAAAAAGTACACATTTTAATAGTAATTGGCACTTTTATAAATTAACCTTGTTACACCCTCCCCTCCCCCACCCCTGACTGTTAAGCAGACAGCCGGTGTTCCATCAAAATCCCCTGCCCCATGAAAATCCTGGCTGCTTTTTTGTGAGAGCATCATTGTTGTGATTGTTTTTATTGAATATTGGTCTCCGAGGAAGTCCCATTAGAGGGCGAAACGCGTAAGACCAACATTTCTTTTTATTTGCTATTTTAACGTTGTCAGCAATAAACCTCTTTTCTACTCATCTACGTGTCGGAGTCCTGCATGGTTCATGATATTGGGTGACACCTGATCCTAAGAGGGAGACACTAGCCCCCCAAACACCAGGGAGGCACCATTAGAGCGCATTTAACTCCAAAATCCTGTGAGTGCGATCTTTAGCAGGGATTATTATATATCCATCAACTGCATTATGCTATGTTCTTTTTTTAATTATATTTTAGGTTTAGCAGCTGTATCCCACGTGTCTTATGTCTATTGGCTTGTTTAGACGTAACACTGCTTGGGAGGTGTTCGGTGGGAAACTGTTCTCTGTTTACTGACAAGTATATGCTATTTTTTGTTATATTATATTAGTGTCACTATCACTGCAGTGGGATTTTGATGTGATGGAGCCTGCTCCAATCGCACTAACAACAGGTGAAGGACTCAATAAATACTAAAAGGCTGACAGACCTGAATTGGTCTTTCAGACAAATTTACTAAGTAAAGATTACTTAGTGTTAGTAACTTATGCCCCTACTCGCTATACCGCGAGTAGGGGCATGTCTTTTAAACAGTGAGAAGCCTATAGCTGCTCACTGTTAAAAAAAAAAAGGTATCCCCCTCCTGAGCCCTCACCCTTGAACGGCGGGTGGGGGCCCTAACGTAAAATAAGGGGGGACCTGTTGTCCTCCCCCGGCCCCCACCAGGCCCCCATCCATAATCGGTGGGTGGGGGCCCTAAATTAGAATGAGGGTGGGGACCTAATGTCCTCCCCCTGGCCCTCACCCCTGAGCGGTGGGTGGGGGCCCTAAATAAAAATTGGGGGGGACCTAATGTCTTTCCCCATGGCCCCCACCCCTGAGTGGTGGGTGGGGGCCCTAAATACCAATTAGGGGGGGGACCTGATGTCCTCCCCCATGGCCCCCACCTCTGAGCGGTGGATGGGGGCCCTAAATACCAATTGGGGTGGTCCTAATGTCCTCCCCCCTGACCCCCACCCCTGAGCGATGGGTGGGGGCCCAAATTAGAATAAGGGGGGGACCTAATGTCCTCCCCCCTGGCCCCCACCCGTGAGGGGTGTGTGGGGGAAATAAATAAAAATTGGGGGGACCTAATGTCCTCCCCCCTGACCCCACCCCTGAGCGGTGGGTGGGGGCCCTAAATACCAATTAGGGGGGACCTATTGTCCTCCCCACTGGTCACCACCCCTGACCGGTGGGTGGGGGCCCTAAATAAAAATGTAACCCCCCTCAGGTGACTAAGGGTCCCCAAACCCCTAGTCACCCCCATCCCCCAAAAAATTAACCCCTACCTACCCCCCCTCACCCTAAAAATAATGAGGGGGGACCTTTAACATAGTAAAGTAAGTAAAGTAAAAATAAAATAAAACTTACCATTTGATGTTTTCTTTCTTCTAAAATCTTCTTTTTTCAGCCCCAAAAAAGGCCAAATAAAAATCCATAATAACCGACGCACTTAAAAAAAAAAAAAAGCACAAAAAAAATAATCCATCTTCACCCATGGAGGGCTCCGTGCAGACTGAGCTCTGCAGGGCGGGGGAAGACTTATAAAGCCTTGCCCCACCCTGCAATTAGCCTCAGAGCACTCTGATTGGTGGGTTTAAGCCATCCAATCAGAGTGCTCTGTTAGGTAAATGAAACAGGTAATTCTCTACATTTACCTGTCACAGCACTCTGATTGGTTGGCTTGAAATCCACCAATCAGAGTGCTCTGTGTCATTTTACACAACGTGGGAAAGTTCTTTGGAATTGCTGTGTAATTTGACTCATAAAACTCTGATTTCAAAACGCGCCATTAAATTGCCAAACACCGAACTCAAACCCGAACTGTTACTAAATTGTCCAGGCTCGGGTTCGGGGGTCAAAAAAACGTAATGTTTGGTACGAACCCGAACTTTACAGTTCGGGTTCGCTCAACTCTATTGTGGACATTTTATTCATGGTAGCTAGCCCTGTCCGGAGATGATTTGCATTAAGTGCATGTGGGGAAACATATGTTTTGGGGGTTACCGCTGTACAACCCTGTTGTCTGCAAGTTAATAAAATCATCCCACACAGAGGCGCTAGGGTGGGGACCCATTGTTCATTTTGATGACCCCCTGTGAGGAATATTCCTATATATATGTGACCACAGTTGTTATTTTACCCCTTCACCAAGTCTTGACTGGTGTTAAGGGAGAAACTAACACTTTAGTGATTCTTTCCCAATAATAGGGAACTTTGGTGAAGGTACCCGGTCAAAATGCAGGAGCTCCGCCAAAGCCGACATTAGCGCAGCCATTGCTGAGGTGGGGTTCTGACATTATTGCAGCCATCATAGTGGTGGGATTCTGACATTATTGCAGCCCTCGCTGAGGTGGAATCCTGACATTATTGCAGCCATCAAAGTGGTGGGATTCTGACATTAACGCAGCCATTGCTGGGGTGGGATCTTGGCATTATTGCAGCCATCGCTGAAGTGGGATCCTGACATTAGCACAGCCATCACTGAGGTGGGGTTCTGACATCAGTGTCGCCATTGCTGGGGTGGGTTCCTGACATTAGTGCAGTCATCGTTGAGGTGGGATTCTGACATTAACGTAGCCATCACTGGGGTGGGATTCTGACATTAACGTAGCCATCACTGGGGTAGGATTCTGACATTAACGCAGCCATCGCTGGGGTGGGATTGTGACATTAGCTCAGCCATCACTGGAGTGGGATCCTGACATTAGCGCAGCCATCACTGGGGTGGGATTCTGACATTAACGCAGCCATCGCTGGGGTGGGATTCTGACATTAACGCAGCCATCACTGGGGTGGGATTCTGA